AGCCGCGCCCGCTCCGCAGTCTCTCCCCGTCGGTGCGCCAGCTCTCCCGGCGCTTCGACGCGCCTCGTCTAGACAACGACCCAGCAGAGGCCCGGGACGGGGGCGTCTCCCCAGGGACCGTGGAAGAAGCGTCTGAGGGCGCCGCGCGCGGGGCCTGGCCCAGCGTCACCGAGATGCGCAAGCTCTTCGGCGGCCCTGGCTCCCGGCGGCCCAGTACCGACTCTGAGGGTCCAGGGACGCCCAGCCCCGACGGTGCCGGGTGGGAGCACCAGACTCGCGAGCTCCGGCAGCCTCCGACGCCTCCGCCTCGGACGTGCTTCCCCCTGGCGGGCCTGCGTTCAGCGCGGCCGCTGCCCGGGCCGGGGGCCGAGGGGAGGAGGCGGCGGCAGCAGCAACCGGAGCGGGCTCAGCGTCCGGCGGATGGTTTACATTCTTGGCATAGCTTCTCGGTACCGCAGGCCGGGGCCCGGGCCTCCTGCTCCTCCTCCTCCTCCATCGCCTCCTCCTATCCTGTCAGCCGCAGCGGGGCTGCCAGCTCCAGCGAGGAGGAAGAGGAGGGTCCGCCGCCGCCGACTACCGGGGTGCAGACTCCAGCCTACCATGGTGGCCACTCTTCTGGCAGTGATGAGGAGCGTGACTGTGAGGGCAACAACCACCGCTGTGGAGTCAGACCGGGGCCCAGGCCTGGAAGCTCCCGCTCGAGCCAAGACTGCAGGACAGACCGTGATGGGTTAAGTATGGGCAGCATGGACTCCGCAAGGAGAGCCAGGAGCCCAGAGCCCCTAACACCTCCAAGAGTCCCTAGTGAGGAGGGATCCCAGGACTGGGGTGCTGGCTCGCCACCCTGCATCCCAGGTCCCCAGGAGGTTCTACGGCCCATGTCGGACTCTGGGGGTGGAGCTTTCCGAGTGGCCAAGGTGAGTTTTCCTGCTTATCTGGCCAGCCCTGCGGGCTCCCGCTGCAGCAGTCGTTATTCCAGCACGGAGACCCTCAAGGATGAGGACCTATGGTCTACTCGGAGTTCTGGGAGCTGGGGCGTGTACCGCTCCCCTAGCTTTGGGTCCGGAGAAGGGATTCTCTTGCGGTCCCAGGCTCGAACCCGTGCCAAGGGATCTGTGGGCGCCTCAAAAGCACTGAGGGATGGAGGATTGGAGCTGGATAAGAGCCGGCAGCGGAAATCCCTGTCAAACCCAGATATTGCATCGGAGACCTTGACTTTGCTCAATTTCCTGCGCTCAGACCTTTCAGAGCTGAGGATCCGCAAGACTGGCCAGCGTCCTGGGGACTCAGAGAGAGACCCCCAGGATGGCAGCGATTCGCCAACATCAGGTGGCCCTGTGGGACAACTTGGCCCGGTGCCTGCGCCAGTCCCAGCATCACCTGGCACCCGCCCCACCCTCAAGGACTTGACTGCCACCTTGCGCAGGGCGAAGTCATTTACCTGTTCTGAGAAGCCCATGGCAGGCCGCCTGCCTCGAGCCAGTACCCTCAAGCCCAGCTCCTCCGAGCTTCTGCTGGCAGGCCCTGGTGCTGAGGAGGACCCACTGCCTCTTGTCGTCCAAGATCAGTATGTGCAGGAAGCCCGGCAGGTGTTTGAAAAGATTCAACGCATGGGTGCCCAGCAGGACGATGGAAGTGATATCCTTCCTGGGACCCCTGACTGGACAGGGGACAGGGCTGGGGGTAAGCGGTCCCAGGAGGAGCTCTCAGGCCCTGAGTCCAGCCTGACAGATGAGGGCATTGGAGCAGACCCTGAGCCTTCTGTTTCAGCCTTTTGCAGCCTGGGTTCTGCAGGGGTGTGGCGACCCCTTTCCTCATCCTCTGCCCAGACCAACCACCAAAGCTCTGGAGCAGAGGACAGTTTGGGTGCATGGGCTCTTGTGTCCCCTGAGACTCCTCCCACACCTGGGACCCTCCGTAGACGTCGCAAAGCCCCACCTTCAGGCCCTGGTGGGACTGAACTGAGTAATGGGGAGGCAGGGGAGGCCTATAGGTCTCTGAGTGACCCAATTCCACAGCGTCACCGGACTGCCACCTCTGAGGAACCCATAGGGTTCTCTGTGGACAGCAACCTCTTGGGGTCTCTCAGCCCCAAGTCAGGGCTCCCAGTGGCCCCACCTGTGGATGAGGGCCTGACCAGCAGTCACAGTGACTGGTCTGTGGGTAGTGAAGAGAGTAAGGGATACCAGGATGTTATTCAGAGCATTGTCCAGGGGCCTGCTGCCTTTGGGCGTGTGGTGGATGACAGGACTACCAGCAAAGCCCCGAAGAAGAAATCTCTGAGTGACCCTAGCCGCCGTGGGGAGCTCGCAGGCCCTGAATTTGAGGGCCCCGGAGGGGAGCCCATCCGAGAGGTAGAGCCAGTTCTGCCTCCGTCCAGCAGTGAGCCTATACTTGCAGAGCAACGGGCAGAGCCCCAGGAACCCGGTCCTGCCAGGGGCAGGGCACAGTCTGAGAGGGTCCTGCCTGAGGCCCCACCTGTCCCTTCCGCGGCCCACTGTGACTTCCACCTTAGCCCTAAGCTGACTGAGGTTCTGTCCCCGCGGCTCATCCACCGAGGCGCCAAGAAGAGGCCAGCCCGGAGCAGTCACCAAGAGCTTCAGAGAGAAGAGGACAATCAGGACCAGACTGGCAGCCTGTCTCGGAACCGGCCCTCCTCAAAGCATGTTCGCCATGCCAGTGTGCCTGCCACCTTCACACCGATTGTGGTGCCTGAGCCACCCACTTCTGTTGGCCCCCCAGTGGCTGTGCCAGAACCCATGGGCTTCCCCACACGTGCACACGCTTCCTTGCAGGCACCCTCACTCGAGGATGTCACCAAGCAGTACATGCTGACCCTCCATTCTGGTGAGGTCCCTGCTCGTGTGCCTGTGGATGTGCCCTCCTTGGCTCCACTTGCACCACCCTCTGCAGAGGCCAAGCCCCCTGAGGCTTCCAGGGCCCCACATGAGCCTGCCCCAGCTAGCAAGCGCTACAGCAAGCCGCAAGTGGTGAGTCCTTTGTGAGGGACCTTTAGTAGGGGTGGGATTGGCTCAAGGGAGGTCTGTGGGTGCTCACCTCATAAAGAGGAGCCCTCAGAGTACACCCTTTGGGTTGGTGCTTGGGTTTAAGGCTGCCTTTCTGTTCCTGGAAATGCCTAAGCAAGTGCTAAGCGTTGATGACACAAGGTCCTCTGCTCAGGTCTCTTAATGCTTAGGCCTTCTGCTGGTGCTGATATCAAAAGTTATTCAGGTCCAACATATTCTAGGTGATTTTACCTGGTTCTTTAGGTGTTTCTCAGGGACTGATTTTAGAAGCTCCTTATCTGGTTCTTTGTTGTAAGTATTGAAGGGGGCATGAGATCAGGGAGAGGCTCAGTTCTCTGCCACCTCTGGCCTTGCTGACCTATTATTGGTCAGATCCCTGACTCTGGGACCTGTAGTTGACGTGGGTTTGCCTTTCCTTGTGTGGCCTTCCTGTGACAGGTCAGGATGTGGGTCTGTTCCCAGGCCTCGGAGAAATCAGGAGGTCCAGAGTGCTGCTTTGTTCCTTAGCCAAAGCCTCAATGTCTCATCCAACCCGCTCTGCCCCTGACTTGCTGTGTGACGTTGAAGAGGCCCTAGATTTTCTGTGACTCAATGTCTTTAAAACCAGAGGGTTCTAGACAAGGGGTGCCTGTGTTTATATCCAGCTTTTGCACCACTTTGGGTAAACTGTGGCCTTGAGTTGAGGCTCAAACTATTTGGGGCTGAGGTGAGCCAGAGCCTTTTCTGATGCAAATGGAGATCTCCTAGGAGAAGTCAGGGAAAGAGGGGGGATTGCTGAGGCTGAGACAGCTGGGATGAATCCTCTGGCAGGTGAGGGTGAAGCCTCTGGTCTCACCCAATTCTTTAACTTGCATCTCCTCTCCACCCCCACTGACATCCTCCTTCCTGGTGACACAGATAGTTCCCCTCCTCTGCCAGCCCCTGGGCCACCCTCCCTGAGATCTCACGCTTCCTGAGGCCCCTATATTCTGTCTTCAGCCATTCTTGAAGTCTGTGTTGTGGGTTTAGAAGGGTCCTATGTGGCCCTGGGACCTAGGTTTGAAGGTAGATTCTAGGGTCTGAGTTCAGGGCTGAGTGGCAGGGCTGATGGTGACCACAGGGATGAAGGCTCTACCTGCGTCCCCACTGTACTTGCTGCTGTGTGAGGTGCATGGAAACCCTGTTTAATCACTCCCTGTTTCCAGTGCTCTCATGGTCCCTCTGAACTCTCCCTTGCTCTGTTTCTTTCTCCATGTCTCTGTTTCATCCTGGTTTTAGCTGTGGGTCTCTCAGAATCTGCTGAGGGAGTTAATGAGTAGATGAGGATGGGAGAATTTTGGATCTCTCCTTTTTTTAGAGACCCTGTTAGGGCAACTCAGACGCCCCTAAACTCCAGTGCCTGTTCTGTCTTAGAAGGCAAGGGTTAGGGAGAGAGAAATGAAGATGAGAGTTTTTTTATTTGATGAATAGTGCTTCTGAAGGCTCAAGTGGAAGATAGGGCAGGGGTGAACCAAAAAACTTAGGGAAACATTGAGATCCAGAGAAGAAATGAGAGATGTTTTAGAACATGATGTGACTCCTGCCCCCATCTCTCATCATATTCTCCCCTGCTCCCTCCCTGCCCCCCACTGAGGGAGAAGTTTAACCTCACCCCCAGCCCCTGGGGATTTATCTGCCCAGAACATTGGCTGTTCCCTCTGCCCTGAACAGAGGCTTTTTCCGGCCTCCAAGTACTTGCCCACTTTAGCCCTCCCACCTTTCCAGGCTCAGCTCCATGTTCCTTCTTACCACTTAGGGGAGAGAACTGCTGTGTCTCTAAATAGAAGAACATAGTTTGAGTTTATGCTTCAACCCTGAGTGACTTAGGGTCAGTGACATCACTGCTCACTTTCCCCTTCTGTAATATGGAGATATGAAGTGTGCCTGGCAGACTTCATGGAGAGTGGCTGGTGTGCTCTTTTCCTACCTAGAGGAAAGAAAAAGGAGCAAACTCCTTTCTCAGTGACCAGAGAAAGCTTGGTCCTGACTTTTAGAACCCTACTGCCCTTTACCAGGATTCTGGGCACAAAGCTGGCACACAGGTATCTCAGTAAACGTGGTGGGCTTGAATGGACTCAGAAAGATTTTCTTATATCTTGATTCCTCACCACTCATAAAGTCTGGAAGTTTTCCCATCTGCTAGCCTGGATCCCTCCTACTATCCCCTTCCTTCTGGCTCCTAGGGGTGGGGAGCAGCTGTTCGCCCCCTCTTGCTGGTCTCTGTGGAGGAGACAATGTTCCCTTGTTTCAGATCTGGGGTTCCAGTCACGTTCCCTGGTCTGTGGGTGGAGTTGGTGTGGCACAGGCTCCAGAAGAAGAAGCTGTCATGCTTTGTTGATGGAGTAGAAACCAATGTGAATCAATCCATGGGCTGATAGGAGAACCCCAGGGGTTGAAGGGACCTGCTTATCCAATCTTGGGCGGCAGGAAGTTAGTCAAGCTCAGGCCCAAAGCCCATATTCACCACCATGTGGTTTTAGCCTCATTGTTGGGAGGCCTGCCTTCCAGGCTCACCACATTCCCCTGAGACCTACACTGGGTCCTGACTTGGGCTTCTGTTTCCCTGTCTGTACAATGGGAAGTGAGACTGTCTGGTCTTTGAGACTGTATAGCCTGATATTTTTATTTATTTGCTATGGATCTGAGAACCAGATGATAAATAAGGATGACGGAAAAAGAATTGATGCCCTTGAGTTGTGGTGTTGGAGGAGAGTACTGACTATCCCATGGACTGCTAAAAGAACAGATATGTCTTGGAGAAGGTGTAGCCAGAGTGCTCTTTATAGGCAAGAATGGTGAAACTTCATCTCACGTACTTCGGACATGTTAGGAGAGGCTATTCCTTGGAAGAGAACATCATCATTGGAAAAGTGGAGAGTCAGTGAAAAAGAGGACGACTCACAATGCGATAGATGGACACAATGACTGGCAATGAGCTCAAGTATGTCAGAGATTATGAGGATGGTGCAGGATAGGAATAGGTTCACATCATAGTGTTGCTATGAGCCGTGCTCAGCTCAGTGGCACCTAACAACAACAGCAGGAAGGACCTGACCCAGCCTGCAGGGTAGTCAAGGTAAATGGAAGTTGAGGGTTGTGGTGGGTACAGCTCTGTGTAAGACCCTGGAAGCCCAGGGAATACAAGTGCAAATGTTTGCTTGCTATCTGAGCTTCCCTGCTCCTCCCATGCTACTTGTTATTACCAGTTAGGTCCACAATAGCTTCAATGATCAGCTTCTCTTAACATAGAGAGTCTTGTGGTCTCAGGAAACTTGTATTCATTTGACAGATGCAACAACCATAGCACAGCTGTGAAAAATGCTTTATCCCTCTGGATAATATATGGGTGAACTCAGAACACTTTAACTTACTGGAACAGCAAAAACAATGGCTAACATTTTTTATTTAGTGCTAATGTTTTGAATGTTTATTCTGAATGCTTCATTCGCTGAATGTGAAAGCTGTGGGAATCTTAGAATTGCAGGCTGTCAGATTCACGCTGAATCCTAGAATGTCATTGTCTTAGGAATGAAGGGGCCCAAACAATCTTTGTTTCTCAGTGACTAGCCTGCCATCTGAGAGGGGGTGCAGGGTCAGGTGTCATCATCTGTACACCCTCAACAGCAAGAGCACCTTCAAGTTGACTATGTCATTGACTTGGATCTGGGGTTAGAGAGTGAAGAACTTTTATGACCGGAAAGGGAGAATTCTGGGTATGAAGTCACATAACAAAGTAGAGCTGGAGCAGAGTGAAGTATTAGAACCCTGATCTTGTTCTCCCCAACCGATGTTCAGAGCAGGCATGGCCCACAGCCCCCATCCCCAGCCCTGGCTTTACTGAGAAAGGCCAGGGCTGCAGCTCTTCATTACCTTTCTTGTCTCCCTTTGGCAGGGAACCTACTGGGTGGGGGCTCTATCCTTCCCCTCCTTGACTCTTTGCTATGATTTTTCCATGGAAACTGGTTCTAGGAGGGGAGGTGATTAGGACATTTGGAATTCTAAGCAGTACCAAATATCTATAATTAAATGTCTTGTCACCCTGCAGGCGAAGGGTGGGAAGGGGGAGGACAGGCAGAAGGCCTGTCCTTGTCCTCTGCTTTTCCCCCATCCCCCTTTCTTCCTTCCTTAGAGTCCCAAGCTGTTGGGATCGCCCAGCAGGGAAGGGTTGGAGATGAACCCAAGTTGAGTTTGACATTTTCCAGCCCCACGTTTCTGGGACCAGCTGGGTTGGGGATGGTACAAAGCTGCCACTGATCCTGTCCCCAGCCCCCTCTCCCTGTCTAAGGATTTGATGCTCCTGCCTCCCATCTGTGATCTCAGGATATACATGCCACCCTGCAGTGGGGTAGAGGCCCCCTACACTGTCCAGGGAGATGAAACCCTCAGAGGCTTCAGAATCTCAAAGCTAACTAGAAGGTGCTATAGGATGTTAAAGGACCTGTTGGGAGACAAGCAGGGGAAGTGTGGGAGTTGGTTGGCCTTGGAAAAAGAGTTCAAATAGCCAGTGATGGGTGAAGGAGTTCTAGGAGGAGGGCACAGCTTGAGTAGGAAGCTTCAAGGTGGGAAGAACATGGCAGGTCCTGTGCAGGAAGAGTTTATTTCAGAGACTCTGAGAATTACTTGTTGGGGTTATGCATATACTCATGTAACATATCCTTGCAGAGCACCTAGACACTCAGACCCTCGTCCAGGCCCCAGGGATATAACAGAAACAAAGACTTGCACTCACAGAGCTTCTAGTGTCTCTTTATTCACGAGGATGGCCCATCCAGGTCCAGCTTACATGTCTCTTGACTTTTTTTCTTCTTCTCTTGTTGTGTACTGTCGAATTTAATCCAGCTGGCACAGACGGAGATTGCCCCTCCTCCAGGGAAGCATCTGGTGGATTCGAACCTTCCATGTCTCTTGAGAGAGAGCTCATTCTAATCCCAGACAACCCCAACTCC